AATTGGTAGCCTTCATCAACCTCCAAAATGGAAAAGAGGTTTGCAGACATTAACCCATGTTGTTAGGTGCCGGTTGTTCATAACTGTAAAGTCTTAACAGCTTTTGATGTCAACTTCTCCTGGCTCTTGTTTTTCAATCTTTAAATTAACTCTATCTATCATTTGACTTTTTCAGTTCGTTCATGTTGGGAGGAAGGTTGCTTTAATTCCTGCCAGTTGTCATCTGTGAGGCAGAACTAAATCTATGAAAAATTTTAGAACTGAATCCAGTTTTTTGATTAAAAAGCAGGCAAAATTATGGGGTTGCACTGGACACATGGACCACTTAATGTGTAATGATATTAAAGGAGAAGATCTCTGACCCAATATGGAATGTGTCTTTTTCAGAAGATACCATTCAACTCGGTTTTTGTTTTCATAATTAATACTCGAAATAAAAGAAAAAAATTTAAGAAAGATAGACTATTTCTTATTGTATATTCTAACAAAATTTATATTCTATTGAAAGGATGTATTTAGTTCAAAAATCTTGTCTATTTCATGAGGCTTAAAAAAAGGGTTCAAAAATCTTGTATTCTATTAAAGGGATGTATGGATGAGAATCTACAAAGAAGAAGTATTTAGATCCTTTTGTAGTTTTGTTTTCTAACCAGGAAGCACCTAACAAAAACATTCTAGCATTGTGGTTGGGTCCAGAATCAGGGGCAATGGGCCGGCAACCCCATTTCTTTTTCAATGGGAGATGGTGTTTTTGTATGGTTAAATCTCTAATTTCGTCCCTGAACTATTTTAGGGACCTTGATTTGGTTCTTAAATTTAAAAAATTTCTAATTTGATCTATAAATTATTGTATAGACTCTCGATTTAGTCTTACTATTTATCAATTTACTCCAAGTTGATTATTCCATATAAAAAACAGTTGAAGTGTCTCGTTATTAACATGACATGTAACCATTAAGTACTTGCTTTTCATTATCAAATAATGGACACGTTAGCTTTTTTTGTACGTAAGGATTAACTTGGGGTTAAATCAATAAACAATGGGGATTACACCGAGGTCTGTACAATAATTCAGAGACCAAATTAGATATTTTTTAGTTTAAGAACCAAATCGAGGTTCGTACAATAGTTTAGGGACCAAATTGGGGGTTTAACCTTTGTATATTGGATAAATGCCAATATTAGTCCTTGAACTTTTCATTTGACGCTTTTGGTCTCTAAATTAGTTTTAGCACTTTTTTAAGTCTCTCAACTCTGCAAATTACGTTTTTATTTTTATTTTTTTTTGTCATTTCACTAGTTAAATGATGATTTGACTATTGCCTACAGGCCTTGAGAGGGTCTAAAGCTCAATACATATTTGTTCAATAGAGAGCTTTTGAGAATGGAACTTCTAATAAACTAATGTAAAATTTTATTTAATTCTATGTGATTTTATTAAGATATACACCTTACCACCATTGGTTAGGCAAGAAAAACTAAGCCAACAATGTTCACTATTCATTAAAATGTAGACCATAAAAGAATGAATTGTTAATGTGTTTCCATTATACTAAATATATTCATACAACAAAATTGAAAGTGAATGCTCAATATAAAACAACCTAAAAGCAGCCCATAACGCCCTAAAAGCTCATGTTCCAAGATTCAGGCATCAGAATTCAAGTCCTGGTATGGGTATAATTGCTCCCTTTTCAAAAATCTGAAACTACATTACTTCGTACTCTGCTTGGAAGTGTCTCAAGCCACAGATTCTTTTCTGATGCTTGAATCTCAATGAATTGTTAGTGTGTGTTGGTATGGGTATAATTTAGTGACGATATTATCTATGTCAATCATCTCAACAACAACAACCCAAAAAAAAAAAAAAAAAAAAAAAAAAAAGGAAAAAAGAAGGGAGGAAGAGCAAAAGAAAATCCATTTCCTTTCCTGTGATCAGGACATTTGCCCAGCTATTCTTCTAATTGCTGAATATGTGCCAGCACAAGCACTCACTGCCCCTATAATCATGGTGAATATGCAGGTAGCAATCTGGATAGGAAACAGAAATGTTAAGAGAATTATGTAAAGGTTTTTCTTAAACATTATCAAACAGTGAGGCAGAGATACTTGTTGGACTAAGTGAAGGATTCTTACATCAAATTTGGTTAATCTACCCCGGTGTATGCTGAGATAACATGCGCATGGAAAGATAAGCGTCTGTCATAAACATGAAACAAAGAAATTGGTCAATATATAGTGTTCTGTTGGTTTCTTCAAGAGACTACATTCGTATTCTCGAAACAGGCAGAAGAGAATGAACTTACAATTAGCATTGCAAGTAAAGATCCCATCAGTGCCATCAAATTCCCTGCAATTCAGTTGACAGAGAAGCATGTTGCTTAGCAGAAAAGGAACAAAGAACAAGAGAAAAAGATGCTGCAATTTTAGGACTAAGGCATATATATTCTTAAATTTCAAGGAATTTGTAGAATGTTAGTACCAAAGAATGGAACTGTCATTGCAGTGACCAAAGTTGAAGTTACTAAAATTGTTCTGATGAGTATTGATGCACTACGAGATCTGAACATGAATGAAGGCAAGAGTTCCTCCAAACTCAGTGCAACAGGTGTGATGGTCAATGCATACTTCGTCATTGGGCAAACAATCTAAAAGGAAATAAGAAACACCATCAAATGCATCACTATCTATGAATATTCTTTTTGGCTTGACGAAATGATCTTTGCCTACGTTGAAGGACAAAATGTAATTGTAAGTTTTCATAACGTACCGTTGTCCAGACAGCAATTTTGGAAGCAACAAGTTGTGTTGGCATGTTTAAAGTGAATTGTGATTCAACTGAATCCCCAAATATCAGATATCCACAGATTGCAACTGCCGTGTACATAAACCAACAAAACAGAAAGCTGCAGAATGGGAACAGATATTAGCAAAGCTGACTTTTCCCTGAATGTTTCAGAAAAGAATATAGGAGTTAGATTGTATAGATTTTTCAAGTTGTACAAAAGAAGAAGATAGATGACCTGACTATGAGAACTAGAGGAAATTGTGTTCGTTCTTTCATGGACGAATATATATTTGGAAAAACTGAATGGCCAGAGTAGCAGAAGCCATATATGCCAACTGAAACAGACAGGTTTGCAAGGTCAAGAGCCGTCCCACCAGCATGAAATCCAACTCTGTCGACCACCCCAACCCATAACAAGCAAAGCACCACTAAAATTGATGCCCCCACTCCACCAACTAAATGAAAGAAGGTTTAGAGATTAGCAGCTGCAGCTTAATTGTGAAACCAAAAATTAAAACTAAATAAATGAATTGTCATATTGTAAGAAAAGAAACAAGGACAAGAAACCTGAGAGGTAGGAGAGCAAACTGAGGTCTCGAAGCCAAACAGTTGGAAGAATAGTAAGAGTTGCTATAAAAGAAAATATTTTGTGAGCATCAAAAGACATTCCAGCCACATACATGTAGACATTTGGGAACATCATGGACAGGTTATCGCCCATCATTATCAGGTACTCCACACAAGCGCCCTACAAATCATTGCTCTTATCCTTTAGTGCAGGGGGAAAAGGGGGCACCAGATAAATAAAGACATACTAGAGAGAAATCCTTGTACTTACATATAGTTCTACATACAGTGTTATCTGCATTTCACAACAAACCATGTCAGTGTTGCGTTCAGCAAAATTCGATGTGAATTAGATTGCTGTCATGCATAAAAGAAAATTACAAACGTATTGGATGAATGGTATTAATTTGAAGTCCACTTACAGATATTATTACACGGCCAATTTTCCCAAAAGCTGCCTGCCCAATATCAGGATAGGTTTGGAGTCCAGGAGAGCTTTGTATACATCTTTTCAGTAAAATTCCAGTATAACAACACGAAATGAAGAACATGAAGAGCAGTATCAAGCTTAACCACCCTCCTTCTCTGATTGCATATGGAGTTGTGAGGAGTCCTAAGCCAAAAAGAACATTGATTCCTATAGAACAAAAAACAACGATCTCAAAATTAGAGGAGACACAATAAACAGAATCCTTGACAATAATTCCTCAACGCCTGCTAACAACAATTTGGTTGCTTGCTTCATAACAAAAACCGTTAGCATCAATGCTATGTGAAAAGGGTAAACTGGAGGCTGTTTCTTGTCCATGAATCAAATTGAGTAAACATGGTGAAGAGAAGCCTTAAGCAAGGATTATAAAGAAAATCAAGCATTAAGAGCGAAGGGCAAATTCATAGTGAAGTTACGGCTGACCATTAAGTACGGCTTGGGCAAATGAACACTGCTGCTGTGGTGCCAGTGATTCACAGATAGACAATGCTGGCTGCGAAGCTATATCTGAAATTAAGGGGATTGTAGAGGTAGGCATTTCTTCTATGAAGTCTACACTTCCTTCAGATATGAGGGGTTTGCTGAAAGCCGACTCAGGATCAACATCAAGCTGACAAGGGAGCTTGCCTGATTCCCTCAATCTGGGAATCCTCACAGAACTAAAAGTTGGCGAGCTGAACATGTTCATTGATTCCCTGCATAAATCCAACAAAGGCGAGTTAAGACTCAAAACCAAACCTTTTGGTTATCTTCTTTTTACCAATTTTAACAAGCTCATAATCACGCGCGCACACATAAAATTGTAGCCATGATTGAATATAAACTTCAATTCCATGAGCTTAACGAATTGCGTTAAAGTATAAAAAATCAAAATGCAATAAATATAAACTTATTGACATTCAATAATTGTTGTTAACAATATGATGTGATGGTAGTTTTTATTGACCATTTTTTAAGTTGAAAGAATAGGACAAGGATATGAAATACAAACAAAAGTTTTAATT